ACTTCTGTGCTGGGACTACTTCTGTCCTGGGACTACTGCTGTGCTGGGGGTACTTCAAGTTACAAAAAGTAAAGGTCCACAAAGTACTATGTGAGGCAGATGTGAAGAGCGGGAGACTACAAGAGCAGATGAGACCAAGGAGCAGAGAGAGAAAGGAGGGTGTGTACAGTACACAGCCAAAGAAACTTGAGGAACTCCAGCAAAGGCTGTGTGAGCTGTGGTGGGTCCCCGAAGCAAGGAAAAATATATAAACCGCAGCTGGAAGCACTATGCTGAACTTTGGTATTCGTCCTCTTGGCACAGGGGCCTCCTTGGATATTTCCAACGAGTGTCAGTGACCGCAAGGTGCCCGCTTTTTCCACCCCGCGATCGAAAGCATACCTCAAAACCATAGGGTTCATTTACTGTTAAATGCGGTCATACTGATCATTCAAAATATATGATAATTTTTACAATACTGTACAGTACACTCTAGGAATTTCTCTAAATCCACTCCGGATCCATATTTGAGGCCAATTCAGAAAGGGCCAATTTTGTATTAATTACCCTGTGCCATTAACTTCTATTTACCATGTTATGCTACTAACTCTAAAGATGAAGAAACAGAATTATTTCTAATCTATCTGGAGGCCCTAAAATTTACAAAGGCTGGGTAGGGGAGTCCGAGCGAACCGTAGAATGTTTTCCTTGCAGCTGATGGCCCCGCCCATACTGGTCAAACTTATTGTCTGGTCCCATCTCAGCTCTCACAGGGCCTTCAGACACACGACTGCGATCCCGGGAAAGCTGCTGAAGAGTTTCGTCTGACATTTGCCCCAGCCACTGTGCTGACCTAGATCCAGTTGTGATACGCTTCGCAGAGATGAGCTCTCCCAGTGTTGAGACAATGACTTGATGAGCATCATCAGCCGAGAGAACATCTTCGAATTCGTTGAAGCGCACCTGCTTTGTTTGCTCGGATGCCCTGAACGCCACAACATACATGTGATGACCGTTGAATCATGTATGCTGACCAAATTGCCTGCTGGCTTGCGTACAAAACGTTAAAATGTGAAAATGTGAAATTGCGAAACTGCAAAAATTGCTTTTTCACAGGAATGCAGAAATGCAAGTCCACCAATGTGTCAAGAAAAATCTAAGATGCCTTGCCAGTCATGTCAGCACTGGGCCTTGCTAAGCTTTAACCATCAAAAGGTGGCCCCTGGATGACGTCATAGGTAGAGAACCTTCCAGAAGTCATGACATTGAATTGATGGTCTGGTGCGGCATCTCACGCAGCTCAGCTAGGCATTTGCTTTCATGAGCCATTTCCTCACAAGAGGATTCTCTCGAGAGGTGTTTTGTCACAGAAGAGGCTTTCTAAATAAATACTCTTTAATGGCCAAACTTCACAATATTTAAAGGCTGTTATAAAATCCATGTGTTCTCGCATCTGACAAGGCCTTCATATCTCAGATAGTAATACAAGAGAATGCCTCTGTGAAACATAGGGACTTGAGAACTCTCACTCGAATCGAGTAACTTCATGTGTCTAGAAATATCTCAAGCCCAGCTAACTGAGTCGCGTAGCAACTTAAGAGAGTCATTTTATTCATACAAACCTCCTGTAAGTGTTTTCTCAGGAATTTGGCTGAATACAAACGAATTTGGCGATCTGGCGATCTGGCGTGGTTGGTACGGACCCACATAGTTCTTGTAGCGATCACGGCTAATTTGCTGCAACCGAGAGGGTCTGAGCCCGCTGAGATAAGGCAGAGTTATCAACAAAGAATCTATAGGATAGTTGAAGTTCTATTGGCAGAGCTATCTACAAAGAATCTTATATAGTGGTCGGTCACGTGATACAGGGAGATCGCCACACAGCGGCCACAGCCAGCCAACACCCCCCCTCGAGATACCAAGAATCACGTATAAGACACCCAATCCACTGAGATAGTTTGCCAAAAATCAATTACATACATGAAATCATTCATTCCCGCCTTTTCCACTCGTAAGCCCTAGGAAATTTATGAAACGCTCAACATGTTGTTGCTCTAGCTTTTTGCCTGTTTTTTGTCAGTTAGCCGAACCAATGTTGATGCTATTTAGAACACTATGCTTACGGTACTTCCGTTGAGCAATTCGATTTTGTATGCGCCGTCGTTCAGCCAAGTCCGATATCTTTGTCCAATCTTCATTGGGATGGGCGCTGGCGCTGAAGGCATTAGTGAGAGTGACATTGAACCGAAAGCTGGAAACGGGAAACGTCAACACGTTGGCCTTTCTTAAAAGAATAATATTCAGGTGCAACGGTGTATAGAAACTTACTTTTCACTCCCCGGGTTCGTTCGATTGTCAACAGGGGTCGATAAGCTGATACCGTGAGGGAGCAAACCAATGTGGTTATTCGCATTTACTCCATTAATAGGAGAATTCTCGACATGTAGTGGGTCATATCTTGGGTCTCGGTTTACGAAACTGCTCGGAACATATGCGGGTGGATGATGGAAGGCGTCGACGCCGCTTCCTGCCTGGGGAGAATGGTGAAATGAATTCATGTCTATGGCAGACTGCATTGCAGCATCAGTAGTTGAAGTAGCGTGGGGGATTGAAAGTGGGCTTAGTAAATTAAGTGTCATTCCCGGAGTAGATAAGTCGGGTACTTGTGTATGGCAGGGCATGCCCATACCGTTCCTAATATGCTGTAGGCTATCGGAATCTGGTTGGGAAATGCTGGACCAATCCATCGAGTCGTGACGGGAGGCCTCATAGACTTGTGGCTGGTGAGGAAAACCTGTCTTGGGGTCAAAGGAGTTATGAGAGGAGCTGAGCGAATGGTTGCTAGTTGTGGGTGATAAGACATGCTGAGATGATATTGAGGATGCGTCCGCATTGTTTCGGGACTCCCACCCAATCGTGTGCGAGAATCCCTCATCGGTAATTCCCAGGTGGACTGGGAAGAGATCTGGGTCATCATGGGCATCGCCCTTCGAATTGAGAGCACTGAAAGGGCGAGTAGATGAAAACATGTCTTCAAATGTGCACAGCTTGTTTTGAAGGTCCTCTTCTTGAGTTGATTTCCCTGAATCATTGCTCAATTCACCAGACCACGCTCTTTTATGCTTTGTGATCTTTCCTTTGACAAATGAGCCGCTTCTTTTTCTCCTGTTGAAGCCAGACCTGAGTTCAGCTTGGCTGATTTGCTGTTTCAGCTTGTCAATAAGCTTCTTGACATGTGCAACATCATTGGAAAGCTTTCGCTTGGCACCAGAATCTCGAAACAACTTGACCTTGCAATAGCATACTTCGGGCCGGTCTTCAAGAGGTGGATCTCCATGGCCGGTAGATATAACCTCTGTTTTGGCGCATAGGCTAACAGGAATTCCCTTGGCGCCTCTAGGATGCCTAAAGTCGGTAGAGAGGAAATTGAAACAAACTAATATCGAGCAGCATGGGTTTCCATTGGCAGGGTTCGGGGACCAGATAACAGAAAACCCGTCGAAATTAGATGTTTCCAGCTGAACTTGAGATGGTCTGATATGTCCGCCTTGGTTGGGGTCCACGTGTTCTACCGCCAAAAGCTTTCCATCGCGGTGATGAGCTTTGTTGGAGCCACGGTGCTCCTTCCATAACTGCCAGCAACTGGCTGGCTTTGAGCGTTGTTCATCATTCTCAAAAGAAACGCGGATAAAAGTGCGATATTTCAAAAGCTGTGCGCCTGATGTCATTGGCGCTGTATCCAGAACCGACATTGTGTAGATTTGGCCTTTGTTAAGATACGTAATGGGTATCTCATCAGGGTCTTTTACCATTGCTGTGGCTGCCTTGAGAGTGACATTGAACCGAAAGCTGAAAATGGGAAAATGTCAACATGTGCCAAGCCTCTTTTAAAAGAATAATATTCTGGCGGCAAGTTGCAAGAGTGTATAAAAACTTACTTTTCACTCCCCGGGTTCGTTCGATTGTCACCAGGGGTCGATGAGCTGATACCGTGAGGGAGCAGACCAATGTGGTTATTCGCATTTACTCCATTAATAGGAGAATCGACATGTAGCGGGTCGTAACTTAGGTCTCGGTTTACATACGCGAGTGGATGAATGAAAGCGTCGACGCCGTTTCCTGCCTGGGGAGCGAAAGAATGGTGACATGAATTCATATCGATGGCAGACTGCATTGAAGCAGGAGGGGTTGAAAGCGGGCTTAGTAAATTGTACGGGAGGGTAGGATATGGCAAGATGTTGCTTGTGAGGGAGGCTTCTAGGAAAGACCAGTATATCAAATACAGACAGGGTCATTCCTATCCCTTTATGCTTGCGGATAACCAGCCAAACCAGGAAATGATGAAAAATGAGCAGAAATCACAGGCTGCCAAGCGGAGTAGCCATTTTTGACAGCCCACCTCTTGATTGTTTCCGGGCGCCGGTGCCAAAATCGCGCATGCATGTAACAAGGCGCGTAACAAGGCAAACGGTTCATATGGCCCTTCCCTTTGCATAAGGACAAGCCTTGGATGGCTAGCCTGCGTTTGCACAAGGCAATGGGCTAGTGGTGATTGTCAAAACGAGCGAAAACCAAACATTAGGCTTGATACTCGCTGCAGGGCGTACAAGCCACAATGGGAGCCCATCCCCCGATTCCAGCGGTGTATCGTTTCCCGGGTCGACATAAGGCGCAAACAAGGCAACGAGCGAGCGGACAAGATGCATCAATCAGGAAAACACAGCCGCCAGAGATCACAATCTCCGTCACCCCAGGTTGAAGATCCAGGGAAGGCAAACATGCGCTGGTGATGTCCTGGTCTGCTGGATGACAGGGCTTCGGATTTCTGTTGGCAAATATTAGACCGGCCGAGAAAGTGATAAAATACATTAGCCAACGCCAAACATCGCAGCCACATCAGCAATACCCCAATCCAAGGAATTCAAGGAGTTAAAACCATTCCAAATCTCATCAGTCACCTTGAGACGGCCATCAGTAAGAAACAATGTCACAGTTAGATTGTCATCCAGGGCGAAACCCAAAACAGTGCTCCATCTCCAAAATTCTCCCGGCCAGAATGTCAAGGCCGGACGCTTGTGCCTCTCGTTGATATAGAAGTGATGCACGACTTACGCGCCCTCGACTGGTATAACCTGGTCATCATTTCAAGCTCAAAGTACGCGTAGCCATTGTGTAACCGCTAGCTTTATAAGTCAGGAGGGTAGTCCAGAGTTCGCGCCCCAAGAACGGACCATATGCAGTTATTGGGGCTCGTACAAGCCGTCGCTTGCGGTGGGAGCCCTTAATTCCGGCTGTGTATACTTTACAATTTGACATAGCTGAAGTTTCAACAGCATCCGGAATTTCTAATTTTCCGGGATGCACTATTTCTTATTGGCACAAGCAAGGATGATTCTATTTTTGGGTAACCAATCATTTCCTTTCGGTTCAATCAGGAACAAACGACGAATGTACAAGAGACAATCAAACAGGGCCCTGCATCAGATAGAGAAGAGTAAATACAGGCCACCAACATATCCCAATTCATAATCATCGTCCTGGGTGATCGTGGGCTATAAAAATATATCTCCCTTGGCGATTGTCGTCGGGTTAGGCAAACTGAAAGCGTCGCGACTTCCCCATGCGTCCTATGAGATATTAATAATCCGCCCACCGAACAAGGAGAAAGTAAAGCGTACATAAGACTAGCTGCTTGCAATGGCAAAATCGCACACACTCAGTTGTTCGAATTGTCATTTTCCTTTTCATAACCATGGCTCTGTTGAGATTCCATTTCATATTCGCTTCGGTAGGCTCGGAGGCAATCGAGACAGTCACGTATTCTTTCCTTAATCATGGAGCTGACATCGTCGGCGGCCAAGAGCTCATCAAGCACTTCTTCTTCTTCCTCCATGTAGCTTTCCCTAGCTATTCTGCCATTCACGACAAGGCGCTGAGCATATTCAAGTGTTATATAGGCGTCTCGAACTTTAGTGGCATCTTGCTCAGATATTTGTTCATAGAATTGGTCCTGTGTTTTCTCAAGGAGCTTTTTAATCGCCTTAAACTGTTCCACCTCGCCTATCATGCGCTCCACGACTGACAGATGACATGTGGCCATGCCAGACGGATCAGTGGTACGGCGGGTTATGGTTCCTGGTTTTGGCCACGGTTCGTGGCGTAAGGTTGGCGGTTCTGATATTACCCTGTAGAGGGATTTCAGTTGCACCTTGCTTGCTCCGCAAGCAGCTTGGAAATCACCCATCTCTTTCTGAAGGTACTCTAAGCCTTGATGAAGCTTGGCATCTGATATACAGCAACACAATGCATGTATTTTCATGATCTGCATCGCATGTCCATAATCTCTCCACAGGTCGGATACGTGATGTCTGAACCTATGCAATTCCTGCTCCTCGACATCCATATCCAGAGCGCACGATGTAAAACCGCTCAACTTTTCAAACAGCGAATCTAGCCCGCGGAATGCTGGGAAATGGGTTGAAAGATATTTTTGTATGTCATCAATTTTCTCGGTGTCGCAAGAGCGCCGAATAGTTTCTTCCAGGTTGGTAATATTTTGTTCAACATCCTGTCTCGTTCGGATTAACGCGCTATAGACGTCGGCAAGCCATCTCACTTGGGGTAACGGGCCCTCGAGAGATTCCTGAATAAGGTAAGTATTAAGAACAACAAATTTAGAGTACTTAACTTACCATGATGGAAAGACAACTTGAAGCTGATGAGATGTTCTTTGTGGAAGTCTTGACTTCTTCGTGGTCCTGTGAGGCTCCTGTGGAGAATGAATTGTATTTTGCTATATGAGTGTGGATGAACATGGCTATTCTTATAGCTGCTCGGAGCCTGTTTTTCACAGATGTGGATGGCCAGCCTGGGACAAGGCAACGGGCGAGCGTGCCAGAGGAACACATTTAGCTCGATTTGGTTGTTGCAGGGGCTACATCGGGGCATGCAAGCGACAGGGGCCATCTTCCATTGGGATATGGACCCATACAAGCCACCAGTTGCAATGGAAGCCCATCCCCCGATGCCAGCGGTGTGTAGTTTCCCGGGTCAACAATAAGGCCCAAAAATGAGGGTGCAAGCGCGTAACAAATAAGATACAGCCAAACCCGGACTGTATAATCCCCAAAGCAAAGAATTCGTGGCACAGCAACTGCAGCTGGATCACACTGGTAGTCTCTCAATCATTGGTCTGGTTGAGTTTAGCAATCAGGCAAATTATGGGGGAAGATACTGTTTTTGCAGCCCAAACCACACACTACCAAACCCGGAATCCTTTTAGAACCTATATTTTAAAATCTCTTTCTGCCGGGGCCAGTGCCTGGTGCACGCCTGGCACATGGGCATAACAAGGCAGCCGAGTTCATGCAGGCCTAAATGACAAGATCCCTTCTCATGTTTGGTGCAGGGGAATTTTCCGTCGGGATATGCACCCGTACAAGCCACGAGTTGCAATTGATTCTAGCGGTGCATGCATGTAACAGGGCGCATGTGAATAACGAGGCAAAAGGCCATGCTGCTACGGGAGCAACTTCCTCCCGTGAGTAACAAGTGTGGATGGCCGAGGCAAGGGGCTAGTGACGATCAAACCAAGCGAGAGACAAAAATTTGGCTTGATACTTGGTGCAGGGGACAGGGTATGGAAGCCCATCCCCCGATGCCAGCAGTGCATCGTTCCCCGGGTCAACAATAAGGCGCCGGTACCAAAACTGCGCATGCTTGCTCCAAGGGCCATCTTCCATCGAAATATGCAGCAAGGCGGTTATTGTGACCCGTACAAGCCACGCGAGCCCATCCCTTGATTCTAGCCGTGTATAGTTTCCCGGATCAGCAATAAAGGTGCCAAGAATATATTCGATAAATATCACACTTGGGAATTTATAAACATATTTAGATCTGACTGTCAAAGTTCAGGTTCAAGCTGTTTTGTGGTCTGATAGAAGTGTAAAATCGGGATAAATAGCTTCCTACAACTGGGCAGAATTCATCACTGAGAAAGTCATAATTAACCAACGCCAAACATCACGGCCGCATCAGCAATACCCGAAGCCAAGGAGTTGGACCCATTCCAAATCTCATCAGG